CAACTTCCCCCTATTTATCTCTGCCAATCAATCTCGCTTCACTTATTCCAACACGCTTTTCGTTTTTCAACTGTTTCCCTTCTTCGGCATAGTCTCCCTGCATATTTATTATTTCAAATAATTATTCAGCGGCGCATTCCACGATTTTATGTCTTCCTCAGTTTCTCTCTTTGCTCTAGAAATTTTTTTTTTTAATCTTTCTTTCCTGCTTATTCCCTTTGCTCAGGTATTTTTTTTAACTTCCTCTTTCATTCTTTTGTCTCCATTTTTGTCTTTGCAGAAAACTCATTTCTCGCTGATTTCAATTGCATTTCTTTTGTATGGTGCAGTAAAATTTTTACAATATTTATAAAATGTTACATAATATCAAAAATTAAAAGCTAAGATGTTCACTTAAAAAGCTAAAGCTTTTTAGGTGTACATCTTAGCTTTTAATTTTGGAAGAAGCTTTACAAGATTGTGTAAAATACCCACCATGTTCCCTTAACCACTCGACATCGTACACTTGGAAAAATTGGTGACTTTAATTTCCAAACAACTCTTCAGAATTTAAAGAATTCTACAGCAACTTTCAAACGTGTTTTTGCCCCAATTGGAATACGTGCTTGAAGATTTTTTAATTTTACCAAAAAAAAAAGAGACTTATATACCTAAATGTTGTGGGGAGGGAAAAAAATAGCTTCTGCATAGAGCTCTTCTTTCTCTCCACCGTCTGTTATTTTCGTATCTTGAATTTTTTTTAGGGCCATTGTCTGTTTCATGGAACAGGCCGTGCTCCGTATAGTTTTAACTAAAATTACAATATTTAACTCAACAGAAGGCTCGACCGATCTATTTATCTCCACATCTATAGTGGAGTGTTGTTCCGAGCAGCAATATATATGAAACTGTTCTTTTTGGTGGCATAAATGTTTAAAGAAAATGGGTTTCTTACTCTTCGGTTTTACTTGAGAGAAAGAGACAGAGAGAGAAAGAGAGACGGAGAGACGAGATGGTTGTTAAAATCCTATCTGGTGATTTTAGTTGATTTTACGAGCGGCTACTGGTCGAAGCCTCTGGTGTGGATTGACCTTCAATCCACAAACCGTGTCAACAGGATTACAAATAGGAAAAGTGCTTCTGCTTGGTCGTTTTACTTGAGGAATCGGCATTTCTCTGAACGGGTTCGTTTATTCGCGCATGTATAGCCGCCAACATGTATTATTTACCAGTTTTGTGAAGATGCATGTCTGCATCGGCGCACACACCAAGGATACCGACTTCAATTTGCCATTACAATCCCACAAAGCTTATATATATATATACCGTATACATTTCATAACGTGCAATTTACCATTAAAATTATTTTCTCGATTATTAGTTTTAACTCTTATATTGCTTATCGCTGGAGAGACCGCAACTTCTCTGCGGGCAATCAATATAGAATTTATGGAATTGATTTTGAATTCAGCAATAATAGGAAATTGCCACTGGTCATTTATTGTGATTCCCGAGTGGGAAGGATAGTTTTTTTTTGGATTATAATAAATTTTAATAAATTCTAAGGTCATCAACTTGATTAACAATTTGTTTTCATAAGTCTTCCTAGGTCTGAGCTATTTTTCTTCTCACAATTCGCTGGAAAAGAATTATTCTACAATCAGAGTCCACAAAGAATAGTCTGATAAACGTTTGCTGAATAATGTCTGCTATAGATTTTCAGTGGAAAAAGGCCTATTGAGCGATATTTCACTCCGATCATGATCATTAGCAGAATCGTGGTTTCATTTAGCGAGATGATTCACCTATCCTAGTAGGTGGTCTCATTCCGCATCGACTAGATTCCTCTGCGGCAGACATTTACGAGGCTAGAACAACTTTCCCAAATGGGCTCAACTCCTATAGTAATCCAGCGAGGTTTATACATAGGGTTTAAGACGATTACCAGTTCGAAGTAAACGAGTGAATGAAAGGAGTCAGTGAATTAGATAATTTCACCTTCCAATATGTAATATTCACTGGTACGTTGAACACGTTCCCTGGCCACGTATTGAATTTGCATTAATGATAAAATCCGCAAACGAGCTAAAAAAAAATATATATATATATATAATCCAGTCCATTGCAAATTGCCGGCTTGCAAAGTGGAACGTAGGCGTCACATTGTCGCTCCAGGCTTCTTGAATCTACTCGAGACTTTTCAATTATATGGAATTTCTTCCTCTGCTTCTTTTAAGTATAGAAGGTAGGACAAGTTTTCGTGATAAAAGCGATAATAAAAGTAGATGTAATCTTGAAACATGCACGTGCAAATGGAACCATTGGTTCGCTCAACAGTCACTATTATAATGACTTGTTAAATGATTGCTACAACCAATTATGTATCAGTAATGTGCTATTTCAAACTATTTTTCGAATCTTACTTTTATTAACTCTCGACATTATTTGCATGGAAATTGCTTCACTTTGTAAGGCAGGCTGTTTTGATAGAATGACATTATTATGGTATACGGATTTACATGTTGCGGCTTTTGTTCTAATTAGTTGAAACTGTCGTTTTGAACACGGAAGGAGTTTATAGTAATGACTATATAGACGACTAAGATGTTCATTGTGACTAAAGATCGAGCATTAATTCAAATCATTTAAATATTCACTGGCGGCAAATTTATCGAGAATTGCATAATTGTAAAAATCGAAATTCTTTACAGCTCAGATGTTCACCTAAAAAGCCTTGTGTTCAATAAAAAAACATGTTCTTTTTTTGCAACATGAATTTTGTGGGAATTTATTGAATATAGCTCATTGTCAGACGTTCATCTGAAAAGTTTTTGTAAAAAAAAAGATCTTCAAATTTTAAATAATCTTGAATTAATTTTGTAACTTTTCGTATAATTGATTAGTTTCTGAATAAGAATAAAAATGAATGCGAGAAAGAAATTCTTGTAACGAGCTCATTGTATGTGAAATAAGAGACACATAAATTTTGTTAGCTGTGCAATTATTACGATCACAATTCCCATGGGCAATTTCCCATTTCTGTATTTCTTGTTTTATTGTCAAAAGAAAGAGAGAGAGAGAGAGAGAGAGAGAAGGAGAGACTGATTCCTATTTTGCACGTGATGATGCGTAAGTTTTACTAAGAGCACGTGGCGCTCGCTACTTTCCAGCACGACCTATATACAATAATTTTTCTTATAATTTGCTGTGTTCCGCTCTTCCCCTCTCACCCTGTAAGTGAATCTAGGTCCCTTTCTACTCTGGTGCATCATCTCTTCCGCCTCACTTTTCTTACGCCTTATTCATAGTTATGCAATGAGTTCATCGATCGAACTTTTACACTACACGAATTTGTCTTCTATTCCTTTGTTTTGTTTCTTTCTCCCATTTTTGACTACTGTTTTACATTTAACAATAGTTTTCGTTTCTGAAAATTTTTTCCGAGGGAATAAATTTATTGTCCTCAGTCGACGTCCTTGCACTTGAAAATATATATATGCACACATATAAGAGAAGGGAGAACAGGAAGCTCTCTCGGTAATGTCGTGACCGAGATTTTAAAGTTCGTGGTCATGGCATTCAAATCAGATGGTGAAAAACGTGCTTACAATTTATTGTTACTTTTCAAATGAGATTTGCCAGGACGAGAACATTAATTTTACTTGAAACGAGCTCACTTTCGCCACATGAAGTGATTTGTTATATCAGTTTTAAGGTTTTATTCAAAACGCTGCATGTTTCACGTTCTTAGTTCACGGAATTCCTTTACTCATTCTGAAGAGAGTTTCAAATAGAGAGAAGAAAATAAATTCTCATAGGTCATAAATTCAATAACATTAATAAATTTAAAATCTACCGGGAAAGTAATAAGTTTTTCTGATAATTATATTATTGATACTGCTTATTTCTTGTACTCTATACAATAAAGGATATAAAAAAGTGTCTGAAATTTCTTGTTTGCTTCTTGGTATTGACGTTCTTTGAAGTAATAACTATAAGTCTGGGAATGAAATTATTATTATGACAAATTGACTGTAATAATAAATATCGCCTCTTCGATATATACAGGGAGGGAAAACTTCTCAAGTTGTCCGCCCTAAAAATTTCTATCTCTGATTATCATTTTATTAATATCCGTCTTTAATGAAAATGGATTGTGAAGATGGAACTGCATTATCAAAATGGGGGTTCAATTAATTTCTTTCCGGCGAAGATGTTGCCTATGCAGTACCTCGTTTTGCTAGTTGCCAAGTCAGTAAGGCGGAACATCCCGCCTCAACTAATCTCAAGAGCGTGAAAATCATTTATCAAAGTTAATAAGTAAACGGTCCATTTTGCACAGTGTTATTCATTTGTAAAATTTATTTTTTTCTTATTCGACTGATTTTACGCTTTTTTGCTTAATGTGTACAATGGAAAAGTTTGCAGTTCACCAAATGGGAAATTATTGAGGATTACAATGATGACTATATATACCTGGAAATCATTGTCAAGTGCACATAGGCAAAAATTTGCAGCATCTGCTAATAAGTTTCTTGATGGAGCATAAGGGAAGTCTCTATTTCTCAAGAGAATCTCTCCAGGTGAACGTCTGAGCTTATACAAAATTATTTCCGAAATTTCGCTACCAGAAACTTATGTCTCTTTTCTTAAGTTCTTTTTTTTTTTTTTGAGAAATCGGTAACTTGTAAAGAATTAATTCATAAAACAGTTCGACACGATCTGAAAAATTTTGATTTGAGACTTTCCCTAAATACCAACGTTCTTTCTTCTAAATGTCGATCTATTCCTGTGGTGTTCAATTTTCTTATACCCTTTTTTTATTCCAACCGGTATGAAATTGGAATTTCGCGAAAGAAGGTGATCGGTGATTAAGATCAACTTGTATATAAGAGGATCGTGACAACCTTATTTCAAAGGGAGATGGCTGAAAGGCATCGTGTATATAAAGCAAGAAGAAAATCAAAAACAAAAAAAAAGATTGTTGTATAAGTAGTAAACTTTCTTGGAAGTGTACTTACCTCGCTAGCGCTGGTGTAATTGGTGGTCAGTTTGATTTGCGGTCGAATTTTTCCAGGTGATTCACGGGTTTCTTTCGCGGAAGTAGGTGGCGTGACGGTTGCTTCCTTAACAGAGATTGGTTTTTTCGTGGCCGTTGTGGCACTCGTCGATGCCGAAGTTTTTACTCTAGCTTCAGTTGAAACATTACTCATAATCGCTGTCGTGGTTGACGTTCCCGTATTAGTTGATATTAGCGTTGTCTGTTTCGCCCTCACTGGAACTCTGCTCGTCGATTGCGACGGTGGCAGTGCCAAACATCCACATATCGTTATTAAAAATCCTATCAGCCGAATAAGCTTCATCGCTGTTTTAAGTACCGCCGTTAATTACGTTTTTTAATTCAAGTCTCTAGTCCCTCACCATTCGTGATCGATTTTCTGCAACAGAATAATTTATCCTTCATAACACAAGTTTTTAGGTTGATCTGGGGAATTATCATTATAACATGTTTTTACTATTAAACCAAACGATGTAAACCGCAAGTTAGTATCTGAAATTGTGAAATTAATTTCCCCCCTCAACATGACTTCATGACAACAATATCATTAGAAAGATATAAAAAATGGTAGGTAAATGGTAGTATGGTAAAAAAGTCTCGTTTTGTTGAATTTGAGATAAAGGGGATGAGGATTGTAATTATATATAATTTTCTTGTTCTGACTAATAAACGCCGTGCACATCAATAATTTTTCCGCTAATGATGAAAATTATTTTTGTTCTCAACTTCCTTCATTAACGCACTAGCGAAAAGTTTAAAGTTATCGTTACTTTCTTCCCCGCTCGTAAATCACTTCCAATCATATTGTTTAGGATACATAAATATCATTTCGAGATTAAATGGCAGGTGTTCCCAAGCTATTCCTATTGTGAGTAAAATGATGAAGTACTTTTCGTTCAGTAGAAAGAATCCCGGAAGATGCCATCATTTCTTAATTTCTTTATAAACATTATAGTAATTATTTGACGCTTCTTAGGTGAACTTCTGAGCTCTACAGTTTTTTTTTTATATTTGCAATTACTTTGCGATCCAAAAATTTTACTTGAATCCTTAGGTTAGAATTTTTATTGTGAGTAAAGGGTTTAGACTTTCGGTTCCTTTCGGTTCCCTTTAGACTTTGGGAAACTAACTTTCTGAAGTAAGTTTAGTTTTCGGAAAAGAAAACTAGTTTTTAAAATGCGCGTATACAAAGGATGACCCAATTGATGTTTGAAAAAATTTTAAGTATAGACATATTTCTAACAGTGCATAATCTGATGGTTCGATGCACTTGTATTAAACCGTTGTATTGCATCATCGTATGCATGATAATTTTATACCACGTGACCTTATTCGATGATTTTTATTCGCGCCTATATGACTTTTATATATACTTTGAAGTAGATGCTCTACTTTTGCTTCTCTCTCTCTCTCTCTCCATCTATTGCTCTTTTTGACGGTATGTCATGACTGCAGGCACGCGCGATGCATGGCAAAAACGCATATTATTAGAGCACCAATCTCGAAGCACCGTTAAATTTATCGATTCGTTGCAAATGTTTCCAGATCAAGAACCACCAAACGATGCCGATTCGTATCATTTTGATGATTAGATTGCAATATTATTTTCGGTACGTTTCGTTATTATAGAGCAACATTCGAAAAAGTGGGTCAATTCATTTTATTTGAATCCTACATAAGAGATAGTAATGCCAATAGAAATATAATTAGAATAAAGTTTGTCTTATCGAAAATTAGATAATGACAATGTCACTGGACATTAGATCTATAATTTAGAGGCTTCCTACGTGAACTGATCTAAAGAGATTTTGTTTTCCTTTTTATTAACTTGAAAGTGGCATACCCAGTTATCAGCAGCTATACTTCATTTTGAAAATTAGTTTATAAACTTAAATATTTTAACCAACTAATTGTAAAAATATTTGCAGGGTAAGAATCTCATGTCCACTCTCTCTCCGTGTGTGTAAATATAAATACTTAAATGCGCATCAGTCCTTTTTTTTAAACAGCATCCGTTATCCGGAACTCGTTAATTAAACATTTGCACTCTCTTTCCGGGCTACTTTTCTCAGTTAACGACTTATTGTTTATTTGGAAGATAAGAGGCTATAACGAAATGATTGGCAATACGCACGCAGAGGGGTCTTTAAGTCAATAATAACCAAAGTCAGTGTGCGCTCGAAAGAGTTGGAACAAAATGGGGAAAAAAAACTTGTCTGACAAGCGCTCGCACGTTGCGTGTAAAAGCAGCAGCACGGAAAGTGAATAAAGAACGTATGATAGAAAAAACGAGAATTGCGTGGAAGACCACTTTTACTGTGGAAGTTACGATATAATTTAGTGTACAATTGCAATGTCAATGCTCAAATGCAAAAATTACTTGCTTCTCATCATAATAACATATCCTGACAGAACCGGAAAAAAATACTTTTACCAATGTCTCATAATTGGGGACCTTTTTTAATTCCTTATTGAAATTTATTATATTAAAGAATAAAATATAAATTATGGATGAAACTAATTTATGTACTGCTACAACTAATCTACAAAATCTATTAATTGAAAACTATTTTTAGGTGCGGTGATTTTAAACATTTTGTCTAGAATTTTGAAGAAATGACACTACATCTGCTTTTTAGCAAATTTTCCAGGTGAACATTTGAGCTATATAAAATTTTTATTTCAAAAATTCAAAGTGAAAATCCACGTCAACCTAAATTTAGAACATTTAAAATGGCTAAAGTCATTATGCATTTATAAAATCATAACTCAGGTTAGGAAAAATTATAAATGGTCTGATTCGCTTTAAAATTTACTCTGGAGATTTTGGATCGTAATTTACAGATTTAACGTTCGATTTATAAAATTCAAAATGGTGGATCCAATATGGCTGTCAGAAAGAGAGATATCAACTTCATAAGGAATGGTACTTCCCAAATTTTTTTTAAACTCGTTGTTAGTGAAAAATATTCACTAGAAATTGTTCTTAAAAAGTGTCCGTCCTGACTTAAAGGGGGTTAACAGAGAAAGGTACAGAGAAATAGATAATTACCAAAAACAAAAATTTCGAAGAAATGATTTAATTGGATAATGGATATTAACAAAAAAAAAATGATATGAAAAGATTTTTAATTTTCCAGGCATCCGGTTGGAAAAATGTTTTTGATTGTGATAATGAATCATATTAAGAATTATATTAATTGAGAAAAAAATCTCTTGGATGAGAATAAAAAGTAAATTTTCGAAAGTGTTCTAATTATTAATAGATTGAAAAAAATGTAAGTGTTCTTAATATATTATTGTCTTTGGAGACGTTTTGGTTTTCATTCGGTAAACTTATATATATCAATTCTAAAATCTCTGGTTCGCTTCTCTTCCCACGTAGTTTCTAACTCGCTTGAGCTCTTTCGTATCTCATTGCAGCTTCAATGGAAACGAGAAGAGTAACAGAGCTCCCGGCTTCCTTAACGGTAACATTATTTTTTTCTCTCATTCTCTCTCTCTCTTACAAGTAAAGACCGGACTTCTCTTCACTACTGCCTCATCGTCGGGGTCCATTTTCACTTTGGCGGAAAATTTCGAATGGATTTCCTATGATAACCATGAAATTTGCTTCTTCCGTATTATATTCTGCATTGAATGGTTAACATTATAGGGAAAAAAAGAAATGAAAGAAGGAATGAAAAAAAATTCCATAAAAATTAAACTATATTTTTTAATTTTCCAGTTATCACTTTAATGGCTTAATGCTGCGTTGCCTCCTTTATATATACACTTGAAACGCCGCATGGTAGAGCTCATTAATTCGGTTGGGATTTAACACCTTCAATCTCTTTTTTTTGTTTGTTCTCTTGAACCGTGAAGAATAATATTTATATTTAAAAATTTTTGAATTACTTTTCTTTCAAATTTAACAATTTTTGGTCTAAAGTCAGATTTTAAAAAGTTAAAATATCCGATTCAATGTGGCGAACAATTTTTGTTAGAACTGATTAATTTTGCTTGATATTTATTACCAGAAAGTTTTTGAGGTTTAAAGGAAAATTTAAGGACAGAAAAAGTAGATTTCCAGAAAGAAATAATAAAATTTTAAGAAAAAAAAATAAATAAACATCAGTTATACATAAAGTAACTAAAAATATCTGCCAAAAAAAAGTATAGAGAAATATTTTCTAAGATTGCGTTTGTGGCAATTATTCAAGATTTAGAGTGCAATTGGGAAGTGGTGGCTCTCTACAGCGAGCTCTACAGTTGAGATATGAAATAAATACTGTGATATAGTGTTTGCATAAATTAATAAAGTACGAGGTGGCACAATTTTACCGTTGAGCTTGTGATCTACTGTGGCGGGTAACCGCATTCAATGATGGTTTGCTGGTATAGAACCTTTATCCTGCGGTAAATGCTTTGCGTGCTTTTCAAATTAACATTTATACATTATATATAATATATATTATCATCAAACTTCACACCGCACTCTAATCAACCGAAAATATCAATTTATTGAATTCTTCCGGTATAATTTCTTTATGGAAATAAAATTATAATATCATGAACCAATTTCCTTCAATTTTCAACAATTTTCAATTTTTTTTTAATTTTCTTTAATATTTATACTTCTTGACCTAAAATAACATATATTTCTTTCAATAAAAGAAATTATGGTAGAAATATAAAATATAAAATCATATTTATTATAATTTTACTACTATCAAGAAAATGTTCAATTTTGTGAAACTTTATTAAATTTCAAATGAAATAATATATTTTATAAATTTTTATTAAACTTGAATTAAATTACTTTCATTGTATATAATGAGATATAAAATTTTGATGTGAAAATCTCAAGGCGAGATAAAGATGTTAAATATAATTTCTATTACTACAATTACTCAACCGTATAGATGGAATTATGGCAACTAATTTACATTAAGGAGAGTAATCGTTTTTACTTGCATCGATATAATACAGAAGCCACTCTAAATTCAAGTAATTTAGTGGTTTTTTTTTTATTTTCATTTTTTCTTTCTATCGTTAAATTCTCGTATATTAAGACCTTGTGGTCAATGGTGGTCATCTATGCGGAGATAAAAAGATATAGAGCCACTTGCTTTTATAATCAGTGGCACTTTATTCAATGAGCGAATAAATTCAAAAATAGAAAATTTATTCATTCTTAACAAGTAATTGCATCTAGTTTCATTCGCTTTTTTTTATTTTCTCATTATATTTTCTCCCTTTTCAACTTTACTGCAGAGTCGAAAGAAATTTTAGAGAAGTAAATCAAAAAGGTCGAAATTCACAGGTTAATTGGTGAAGAAGTATATATTTTAATTTAGGTCAAGTTTTGAATTCATTAAATTGAAAGAAAAATGAAAA